GGTCAATGTTCTCTCGCATCCCTCAACTAGGGACATGTTCTGCTCGTCGATCTCCTGCTCTTCCACTTCTTTCTCTGCTTATTCACCCGAAGTCCCCTCTTCTTCACACAACAGAGCTTCTGGTCGGTCCATGACATTGATGATGTACTGTCCTGCTGAATTCTTTTGCAGCGGTCGAGGCTCTGATCCTTCAATGGAGATTGTCTCAGCCTCGAAGTCCAACACAGCGCGCAAACTCTTCATGGTGTTTCTGCTCAACAACAAAGGAGCTTCTCCCTTGATGATGCAACACTCAATACGTCCTGCACGGTCATGAATTGTCACTGGCATAGAGACCACCTTTTCCGACAACTCTTCTTGCCCATTTCCAAAACGGAACAGGTTGTGCTGTGGTCGCGTTGTGGGTGCCTGTATGTGTGCTCATGGCACAACCGGAGAAATTGGTTCAATGTCTCTTGTCCAATCAGGGTTCGGCTGCAACCTGAGTCAATGATGCCATACGCGGGAGACGACACCAACAAGGCCTCTTCCACAACTGCTGCTCCATGGGCTTTATCTCGCTCTGGCTTGCCACCACTGGAGGATCCTCTCCCCCTTTTGAAAACAGTTGCGTGCCCAGTGGCCAATCTGGCCGCATGCTCGACAGCGAGATCGCTTCTGCAAGTCAGCGACTTCTCGCGAGAATTGTTTCTTCACCACATTGGCCTGTGCAAAACGCCTGGTCTTCTGCAGTTTCGAGATCTCTGACCTGCGTTCCCGCCATGTGGCTGCCAGAACTTCAGCAATTTCGTCTTCATCAAATACATCGTTCGGAGTATTGGACTCCTGCATGCCATGTTCTGTCAAAAAGGCTTCCACCTCATCGAAAGACACTGCATCTGGCCCGTCATCGACAAGCGGTGGACTCACTTCAGACTCAGCTTCTTCAAGGTCAGGCTGTTGTACCAACAATGCTGGTGCTGCCCTGGACTTGCGACTTGCCTTGAAGTCTGGAAAGCAACTTCGCATTGCTGCAGCCACCACGTCAAACTTGAGGTCTCCCTGAGTCTTGGCAGTCACAATCGCTCGTTGATCTGGTGACAGTCCTGATGCCGTCAGGCAGATCCAACCCCGAGCCTCACTTGGGAAGTCAACCGAGACCTTCCTCCTGCACTTGGAAAATGTCTCTTGAACGCGTGACGTCCAAGCGGACATGGTTTCACTGTCGCGGGCAGACAAATCAAAGACCTCTTTGAGGCATTCAGCTAACCAGTCATGAGAAAGACGATCAGGAAAGCGTTCCTCAAGGGCTTGCCAAATATGTTTGTCCCCATTCTCCTCCTTCAAACGATCCAGAGTCAAATGCTCGACAGCTTCCAATGCCAACCCGTCCAACAAACACAGTACGAAGGGTCCCCGGTGAGTTGGTGCCATATCTTTCGTAGAAGCCATTTTGGCTTCTGCCCACAGCCTCCATCGGCGGAACTCCCACCCCAGACTCTCAACCATTGAACCGCCTGTGACCACCTCCAGAGCTCTCGCCACTCGCCATGGCCAAAAACGTGACACTGCTTTCGTGCGCCAGTCAAACCTAAGACTGTACACAACTATCTAATCCTACCCCGGATGCCCCCCGTCAGCGGGGGGCTCCGCTACCAATGTCGAAACCACGAACCGTCAGGTCCTAGTGGGAAACCTATCCCAAACAGTCGGCCGTCTCTATTTCTACGCTCGCCTGAACCGGTGAGATTGCCTACGCACACCAAACGGTCGTCATCTGGTGAAATGGAATCGTGACACTGCTTTCTAACACGTATATGCATCTGTCACATCAAATCAATGCATCTGTGACCCATCTGGAGTCAAAACCACAGAAAACACATTGGAAACTCTTCTTTGAAGGGGAATGGGGTTCAGACATTTCAAAACTAAACACACCAACAAACAAAGAAACAAACAAACCAAAAAACAAACAAACAACACAAACAACCAACAACAGCAACAGCAACAGCAACAACAACAACAACAACAAGAGCGGGATTGTCCTTTTGGATGGGGCTCAGAAATGTCATTGCTTTTTTAAAGGTCAACTAATATTCTGGAACTCCTTGATGGCCAACCGTTCCCCGCAAACTCCTGGATTTCTACTTTTCAATGTCTTTTCTTAGTTTTCCTGGTGAGAGATGCCCTCCCCCAAGACACCTGGATTCTTTTCTTCTTTTCTTCCTATTTTCGATGTCTTTCAATTGTCTGACCCCACTCCACTCCAACCAGCCTTGAAATGTGAAAGTCTTATCAAAGATGAGTAGCATTGTAATAACAGAAGGAGGGCTTTGGATAAGACAGGATGCTTGTATGCAGGCGTAGGTTGCATAAAGGATTGTGCATTTCAAACAGCTTTACACATGTCAAATGATCAAATGCAACATCGGAAGCGCAAAAAAAAACGCTGCCACAACTATCCGCTCTCAAACTTAATGTCATACCTGTCCTGTGAGCAAACATGTTTTCTACAGCAATTCTTCTTTGTATATGTATACAGTATCTATATTTAAGACATCGCAGTGTCCAGACAGGGCTGAAATCATTGAACAAATAAAAAAAAGCAAAAACTAAACAAAAAATAATCAACTCAAGAACTCACATCCAAAACAGACTCAACAGCAAAACTCAATACAAACTCAAAAAAACCTCAAGACAAACTCAAGAAACACTCAAAACAAACTCAAGAACAACTCAACTCAAACACCAACTTGAGTCTAATTTGAGTCCAATTTGAGTCTGATTTGAGTTTGTCCTTCCAAAAACTAAAAACATAGTCAAAAAATACTCAAATCAGACTCAGATTAGACTCAAACCAAACTCAAACCAGACTCAAGCCAAATGCTATTTACATTGTCTTGCGTTTTTCTTTGAGTTATTCCTGGGTCTAATCTGAGTATAATTTGAGTCTCTCATTTGAGTGGCTTTGGAGTCTGAGTTTCTGGTCTGAGTTTTTTTTGAGTAGGTTGCTGTTTATTTCTTTTTCATCTTGACCCCTTGCTGTCTGGGTCCGCGTTTTCTTAAATCTATATTAGACTCATCTTTGATAAGACCCTATGCGACCCTTCAACACCCTCCTCTATCATATGATGCTGTTCTCCTTGGTGCAATTCTCATCTTTAATCAAACTCTGACCGTGTAAATATGTATAAATGCACCCCACTTTTTCCAGGACCTCCTCTACTTTACAAGGACATTATCCTTTTACCATGGTCATCCTTGATAAAAACGATTGACGGGATAAATGCACATATATACATATATACATATATAGCCCTCAAAAGCACACTTTTCGACCGCCAATTGGCCGCAGAATTGCATTCGTCGGATTTAACTCGTTTTCAAATCTACATACACATATGTGTATACTTATTTGTATGAGTACGGTGTCGTATCTATGCCCTGGAAAAGTTAGCTCCACTGCTGGCATCTCTTTTATTCAGCACCTTCTTTTGTTCCATTGATTTGACAATTCCCTTCTATATTTCTCCACCTCTTGACTCCTTCTTCACACCTTTCATATTTGTGTTGTTCAAAGCTGCCAAAACAAGGATCGCCTCATGATAAACTGAACATTTGAATTTGTCACTGCTCCCGTTCTCAAGAGGCTCCTTTTTTAGGCAAACACATGTGTATTTTTTGCGTAGCTATTTCTTGGCTCTTTCTATGACTAGATTCTGAAGCAAGTATACAAAGGAAATCCAATAGAAAGAACTATATGAGCCAGAAAGAAACCGATTGATTGGCCGCTATCATAGCGATGTACGTCATAACGTATTGCTTTTGAATTTCGGCTATCCATTTCCTCAAACAGTGGCTCTTCCCTTCCTGGAAAGGTTGTTGTTGATCATAGATGAAACTTTTGCAGGGCATAACTTTCTTAGACAAGAACTTCGAAAGTTGTGATTCTTACGAGGGAACAACCTTTTGTACTATATGAAAATTAGGTCTGACTTCTCATCTGAGCACTGACTCCACCAAATACGTGTCTGCACATGTACAACACCATCTATGCTTGATTTAATGTATAAACACCTGCAAACCTCTGCGCAACTCTAGAAAGATAGGTTTTGTGGGGGGAGTGTGGCATACATATATTATATATATATAGATATACTATTTCTATATATAAAACACAGAACCCTGTGCCATGGAGTTGGCCAGGCTGTTTGAGATTGACACACTTAACTCCTACTACGGCAGCAGCAGCAACATCACAGGCATGTACGAATATACCATTAAATCTACACGCATCCAAGGCAGCTTTCTCACAAAAAATCCACTCTCAGTGTTCATGAAATGGCCAACTTTTCTTCAAACCCGGTTCTAATACAATCTCTCAAAACCTCAAAAACACGACAAACCTCACAACAAATATGGTACCATACGCGATTGATGCGGTGTGGTGCAAGGGCTGGGTTTCAGAACGAACCACACACACAACAAAATGTTTGTTGGTTCAGGGTACCACCCTCGGTCACAGGAAGTGAAGACATCTCCAATCAAACTAATCATCAGATTAGGCTTGGGTGAAAACCATCCTGTGATGTTCCACTTGTTGACTATATTCAGGATTCCATCGGCCCTTGTCACCAAAAACTTGGCTGGCAAATATTTGCCAGCTGATGGCCCAACATGTCCAAATCAATAAACGGTATGCTCTGGAGTAGTGATGCTAGTGTTTGACATGTGCTCGGTGCAGTCTAACTCTTGCGCCCTCGTTCCATATGGTACGTCACTGAAATTTGGAATGTTTCAGTGCAAAAGGTCTAGCCGCTAGCCACCCCTATCAGAGCTGACCGCAGGCCCGAAATGGATTGAACTGTGCTTCTGGCTCAAATATTTTGTGTTTACAGGAAATAAAGTTGGCTCACGAACTGGCTAGACGAAGCTGTATTGACCATCCAATCGCTCCTTCAAGTGCCACACTTTTCAACCCATGTCGAACTATGGGCAACATGTCTTAGTGCAGCCGAAGCACTGGAAATCAGCTTTGTCGCCTGTACTTTGGAGATGCCACGTTGATTACAAATCCTTAATCCCAAGGGCTTCTAGGCCAAAACAATCTCAATTTCTCTGTGTGTGTGTCTCTTCGGGGTTCGTAGCCACCTTTCCGGGCAAGAGGGTGAATTCCGCCACTTTTCCGGGCACTATGGTGGCAGAACGGCATCTAGACTGGGAAGTGTGCAAACTTTAGCAGTGCTAACAATGCTATGGTGTTTGGTTGGATGAAATTACTGAACACAGTATCTCATACCGTACCTCGTGTGTGTTGGCGGTGGGCCCATTTGACCCCCGTGGACCGGCCGAGCCAAAAGTGCCCATTATGGCAAGGTGTCCGTCGCGGATGACAGGAACTTTATGCAAGCGCTACACTTGCAGCAGTCCGTAGGACAGAAGCAGCAGGAGTGGCCAGCCATGAGGCATTCTTTAGTGAACATGGCTATAGCAACCCAAGCACAGTGTGAGATCATTTGGGGTCTCGGCCTTAGGTCTCCCTCCCGCCCTCTCTGCCTGTCTCTGCCTGTCTGTCTGTCTGTCTCTGTCTGTCTCTGTCTCTCTCTGTCTCACTCTCTCTCTCTCTCTTTTCCCACTGAATTCTTGATTTCTTTATACACAGCTTGGAACCCATTCCTCCCTCTTCTTTTTCCCTTTCTCAAACAGGCCAAGCATGGGTCACACCAAGGGTTCTTACGGTAGGTGTTAAGGCTGGGTTTGATCGAGGGTGCTCACATCCGCGTGCTATTGACAGCGCACTCATGCGTCTCAAAATCTTTGGAGTGCATTTCGACTGCTCATAAACTGGCTGGCGCGGCCGCTTTTCTCGACTGCGCTCTGGTTGTGGTGCCGTGATGTGCCGTGCATTTTTAGACATGGTGGTCATTGGTGGTCACTTTTCGCACCAGCCAGGAACAGTCGACTCACACCAAAACAGGAGGCAAATCCCCTTGCGTCTGCCATGAACAGATTTCGTGGCAGGCGCAGCGCTTTGACTTGGTGGTGGTCGTTGGCGCGCTCTGATTTCGTGGCAGGTGCAGTGAATCGTGACCTTTCAACATGTGGCTTGCTTTCGGATATTGGAGGAAGTCTCGAGCAAAAAACTGCATTTTGGCATCTTGATGTTGTCTTTGGAAGGGCTCCTGCTGGGAAACGCCTTGGCAGGGCTGCGCGATGTGAATCTTGATGTGCAGTTTTTAATGCAGGCACAGCACTTTGTGCAGCAGGCGCGGAAAGGCTAAAGATGAGGCCGTATTATCACACACCTACAACCAGTAAAATCAAACCAAGCGAAGAAGGGGTGCTAGAGTATCAGGCCATCAAGACCCAGAGTACTGCCGGCATGTGAAAGCACACACCTTTAGTTTGGTGAGGGGAAGAGGAGGATATCCTTTGTGGATGGCCGGATCACATTGGGCGACGAGCTCGAGGCTGGACATTGATAAGAGCACATTTCTCTTGATCAGCAGGGTCATCCTGATGAGATTGCCGACCTGCAGCTGACAAAGGAAAGGACCTGGGACCTACCATGGTTTGGCTTGCCCAAATCCGTTCTTCAGATCAACCAGATGTAAAATTTTGCCAAAAGCGAAAGCCTAAGGGGCTGGGAGTGGTCCAAACCTTTAGCAAGCACACAATGGTTCAATCGAATGTGATTGGCAAGTGAAAGCAATGAGCTGAAAAGCGGCAACTAGCCCTACTCTTCCTGGCCTAGAGGAGACTGTCTCTATACCAGTAGGTCAGCTTGTGTACATGAGCATATGTGCACGCATGCAGACTGACTGGCAACTGGTAGACTTCCAACTCCCTAAGACCACACATTGAGCCTGTATGTGGAAAAACCGGGGTAAACGGGAACTATTTCCATTGGCACTTAGTTCGTGGCGCCACTGGTAGTTCAAAGTCAACGACTTTTGGAATTTCAGCCCTTTGCTTCAAAGAACAACCTAAGCCGCAATAATTGCAAATCTTTGAGTCCGGGATTCCAGATTGCTCGAAACTCGTTGCGAGCATTTTCGACGATGGTGTCCTTGACGGGGGCGTTTGCCAACAAGCAAACACCTACAAAAGACTATGACTAGGACTAAGACTATCCAAAGTACGCAGGTCTTCAGATTGTCTTGTTTGAATGAGGCAACGAAAGGACACCTAAAGCACGTATCTCGCTTCTGAATGGACCTGTCTCCCTTACCTAAACTTCCTTGGGCATCAGTCTTTCCAGTTACTCCTTGGGTAGGTACACCGGTGGCAGACAATGCCCAAGTTCAAAGACACATACATAAATCCTGACCCTCGACATGATCTATCTACTGCATCTGACATTCCCAATGCTAGAAGTCCATCAATCGCATACCATTGGCCACACACTCTCCTGGGGCTATGTAGAAAAGCACTGAACGACTTCATGAAGTCTGACATTCGCACACAAGGTGCCAACAGTCTTGAGGCTTGGATTCTCAGGCCAATGAATCGCCAATGAACCAAAACTTCCGTGAGCTCCAACTGAACACCCACCCTGTGGTCTCAGTCCTGTATCTGCCTCACATACGTTTCGTAGAACGTTGGTGGCACCCCACCGCAAGTTGGATTGTAGCACATCATCGCAGAGTGATCCTGCCGTGGGAGAACAGCAATTAAAAAGGCAAGCTCACTTCCAAAATGCATGACACTGCAGCCTTTTGACTTTTTCTCAATTTCCTCAAACTTCATTAGTGCTTTTCTTCCTGTAGGCCAGCCTGTGGCACTTGAAAATTTGAAGCATCTGCCAAACTTTCAAACTTGTCCAAACTTTCAAAGCTTTGTTGACAAAGGCATCAAAGCCAATGACACCCCGTGCAGCTTCAACAAATTAGATACCATATTTTCACGTCAAAGGAAGAGCGGTTTGCAATTTGTGATGAACATGATTGCCCAGGACACGATTTGTGATTCGAAAGATCATTGGGTTGGATCAACACAACCACCATGAATCCAAACAGTTACCCTAAAGTCCATGACAGCTTACCTGGGGTCGAGTGGTGCCTAAGTAGCCTTGAGTATGACCGGAACCGCCGAGCGGAATACTGCGAAGTATTGACTAGCCCTTGAACAACCCAGGATAGCGCAGAGCCTAAACTAGCTCACAAAGGTCTTCATGAACAGATCTTCTATGGACACTTAGCAAAAAATATTGGCTACTGTTTGACTAGAGGAATGCAGGCTTTGAGGCGAGCCTGTCTTCTCAGCCTCTGGCATCCAGCTGGAAGGCAAAGTAAGGCAAGTCATATCTGCTCCAACTAAGCAATTTACACAAATCAGTTACATCTGTAAAGAACCCCTCAAAAAGTCAGCTCTAAATGCCCAAACTGTCGAAACCCTTGACGCCAACCACCAGCTAGCATTCCCCCAGTGCAGACCTCTTCTGACAATGCCAACGCGGCAAAGACTTCCAACGAGCTTGAATTCACCCCACCCTGCAAGTGGAAAGCCATGGTTTGAACGGACAATCGAAAGCATTACATGCTCTTCGAATTCCAATGCATCTTTGTATTGCCGATTGTGAAGTCTTGCCATTTCTAGCCCTCCTTGTTCGTGGATGCATCTTTGAAGACATGCACGCCCGCAGATTCCAGGGTGCCTGCAAAACAATGCAAAAAGTGCATTTGGTTTAATCAATCTGTTTCCCCTTTGAATACTGCCAATTAACTCATAACCAGCCTTAGAACATCTGGCAACACAACCTTTAAATGCAGGTAAGTTGAACAAGGACCGAAACAAACATATATATACACACATATATATATATATACACATATTTATACATATATATATATTTATATGTATACACTCATTCATTTACATACACATATGCACAAAAATCACCAAACATCAAAAACAGTCAGTCACCCCTGAATTTCATTCCACACTGCATCCGTGTCAATCAGGGTCCTTTGAATGTGGGACTGCCTCGTGCTCTGTCGGAGAAAAAGAGGTTTGCGCCCTCCACGATCATCCGGAATTTGGGCCTGAGCACTGTGTGGGAGCCTTTGGAAAAGGAACAGTCTGAAAGAAGGATGAGCCGATATCATGCAAAACTCATTGAGTTGCCGCAACATAAGGTCTTAGTACAAGCGTTGGTTGCGAAACGGTCATCAAAACCTTATGCCACCAACAATGTTTTTTTTAGCACGTCAGCGTTGCAACAGCAATCCATTCTCTCGTGCCATCCGCCGACCCCGGTCTAGGACGACAAACGTGAGCGTGAGTGGTACGGGGCCGGCGTGTTCCTGAGGGGGACTCCGGTAAGTGCTGGGCGATGTCGGTCTGCTGTCCCATTACCAAATCAAACCTACAAATAAGTTGACAAGCGTGAAAATCTTTATTCGCTGCCGACCGTCGAGATTTTGTTTCAGTTGGCCTGCGGGTCCCCTTTGGATTCAAGCATGGGGACGTTCGTTGTGTGGTGCCGTCCCAAGCGCGCCTGGCTTCCAGGGGCGTGCGCACGTGCGAGCGGGCTGGGGTGCATTCTGACCTGGACCGCAGAACGTGTTCTTCGGTGCGTTGAGAATTCGGGTTGGTGGTTGGTGGTGGTTGGTGGTTGGTCCGGTTGGTTGGTGGTGTTGTCAATCGCGGCAGGTACGTCACTGGATGTGTCCAGTGATATCTTCAGGACACTGCAGGGAGCTTTGTTAAGTGGAGCTTTGCGGTCTGCACGCCTGCTAGCAGTCAGCGAAACAAAACAATGAGACCAAAACTTCCCTCTGAATCCAAGGGTTGCAAAAACAGAGACAGAGAGACAGACAGACAGACAGATAGCCAGACAGACAGCCAGCCAGCCAGCCAGGCAGGCAGACACTCACACAGACAGAGAGACACGACATTCCACGGGACTGGCACGCTCGTCACACCGGACACGCTCGTCATACCGGACCACCACCCACCACCCACCACCCACCACCCACCCCCACCCCCACCCCACCCCCCCCCATGTGTTTGGTAGGGTCCTAGGTCCCCTAGGCGTGTCTACGCTATACG